AGTAAATATATCTTCCCTTGGGTTTTTTTTTTTTTTTTAAGATTTTATTTATTTGAGAATGAGAGAGAGAGAGAGAGAGAGCACATGAGAGGGGGGAGGGTCAGAGGGAGAAGCAGACTCCCTGCCGAGCAGGGAGCCCGATGCGGCACCCGATCCAGGGACTCCAGGATCATGACCTGAGCCGAAGGCAGTCGCTTAACCAACTGAGCCACCCAGGCGCCCCAGTTTTTTACTTTTTATTATAAAATATGCTGTGATCAGCATCCTTGTACAAGTATAAGCTACTGGTCCCTGGATATTTATTTTGCATCTGGTCTTTACTGATCCATGTCTCAGTTGATTCTCTTGGGTCTTCTAAGTATACGGCCTCATCATCTGCAAACAATGACAATTCTATTTCTTTTGATAATACCTCTTTTTCTATTTTCTGTCATATTGCATTGGCTAGAACATCTAGGACAATATTAAATATTACAACAATAATATTATACTGTTTCTCCATCAATTATGATATGGCTGTTGGATTGAGAGAGATTTATTATCATGTTGAAAAGCTCATTTCCCTCCATGGTTTAAGTTTCATCAGTAGAGAATGTTAATTTTTTTTTCAAATTGGCTGGTTTTTATAGTCCCTTCCAGATCTAACATTCTCCATGCATGTGCATATGTGTTAGTTTAATGCCAGAAGGATATGCAAATTATCCAGCCTCCCTTAAAGAATGGGCAACTGAGATGCACATTGACAAATACGCGGTACTGTGAAAGTGTTTTAAGGAGTACAAGAAGGGAAGATGTTTTACTTGCCTTCCAGAAGGCTACAGTCTCATTTGGGAGAATAAATGATGTACACAAAAAATATTAGTGATGATCCTTAAGGTGGGTGAATTTTCTCAGCTGCTAGAGAAAAATATGGTAGTTGAAGACCATTTGGCAACTGGTCCCAGAAAGATGAAAGACAAGAAGTTTTCATAGGTCCTATCCCCTCTCTCCATAGGCATTGTGCTGGATTCAGGGGATGGCGTCACCCACAATGTCCCCATCTATGAGGGCTATGCACTGCCCCATGCCATCATGCGCCTTGACCTGGCTGGCCGTGACCTCACTGACTACCTCATGAAGATCCTCACAGAGAGAGGCTATTCCTTTGTGACCACAGGTATCCAGCCCCTTTCCTGATTCCGACTTGAGCTCAAACCAAATCTGCTAGGACCAGATGTTCTCTGATGAAAAGTCTGTGTCCCCCTGTCCTCAAACTCTCTTGAGATAGATGGGGAGGATTTTGGGCTGGGACTGGGCCTTAGGATAGTCAAGGCTGCCTTACTTATGGAGGAAGTTTCCCAACTGAGATGCTCTCGGGATGGGGACAAGGCCTCCTTAAGTGCCCTTTCACAGCATTCCCTCCTTCCCCAGGGACCTGCTATCTCTGTCCATGTCTGCACCAGGATCCGAGCTGGTTTTTACAGGGTTAAATGGTAGTAAAAATCTGATGATGCATTTTGTAACCAAAGGGCATTTATGGTTTGTCTGAGGACACATGGAATAAATAAGGTCTGAATTTCTAAGGAGAAGTTGTCATGCCTCAGTGCCCACCCCAGGCAAGAGATTTTAGGCAGGGGCTTTCCTAGATTCTGTAAGATCACAACAAATCCTCCATCTATACCGGAAATGTGTCCTGTAAGGCCCTCAGGAAGGCCTGTAGCTTTGTCAGGGCAGAGTAAAGACAGCAAGGAGAAAAACCCATGCAAAGTTTTGCCTGGGAATCAAGATTTTGAACTTGCACTTTAGGAAGAGGAATGAAAAATTAACATTTGTCCTAAAAATGAACCCAGAGTAGAAGAGGTTTTCATGGAGATCAAAATAGGACAAACTAACAGAACAGAGTCTCTACTTTCTGTCATTTCTACTCTTTCTAGCTGAGCGAGAAATCGTGCGAGACATCAAGGAGAAGCTGTGCTATGTGGCCCTGGACTTTGAGAACGAGATGGCCACGGCAGCCTCCTCTTCCTCCCTGGAGAAGAGTTATGAGCTGCCAGATGGGCAGGTCATCACCATTGGCAACGAGCGCTTCCGCTGCCCTGAGACCCTCTTCCAGCCTTCCTTCATTGGTGAGGTGCTGCCTACTGTCCCTGCTAATTGGGAGGGGAGGGGAGAGGTATGGAGGGAGAAACACCAGGAGTCACGCACACTTTGTTTATAATTTATACACAGCCCATATTTTTCCAGGAAGGGCCAAAAACACATCAACAATACAATCAGATAAAATCTATTTATTTTTAAGATTTTATTTTCTTAAGTAAGTTCTACACCCAGCATGGGGCTTGAACTCACAACCCCAAGATTAAGTGTCACATGGTCTACTGACTGAGCCAGACAGGCGCCCCTGCTAAAATCTAATTTAAAATAAAAGGATAGGGAAATCAAAATAAAAGAAAAGCAGAATAGGGAATAACATAAACTAAGAATAAGGTTAATACACAAAACACTTCTTGGATCACTCAACATTTAGGTCACTGGGGCCAAAACCCACAGCGGTAAGCAGGATGGGTATGGGGTCAGACCTGGCCTCAGGTCCTGATTCTTCCCCTTTAAAGCCTGTCACTTTGGACGTGTTGTCTTCTTCAAACCTCAGTTTTCTCATCTATAAAGTGGAAATAATGATTGGTGCCAACTAGATAGGGTTGCAACAAAGATTAAATAAGAGAAGATTTAGTACAAGGACAACTGCTTTCTTGAGGAGTGTATAGGTATAGTTGGGCCTGCAAACAAATGTTAATAGACAGTGTAGTAGTTCATAGCAGCTGTGCAAAGTGATATAAGCCCAAGAAATCAGGAAAGGCTTCTTAGGGAAGGCCAACATTTGAACAGAATCTTGAAGAATGAGTATCATTTGAGGGTATCTGGGGACGGAAGGAGTGCAGGATAGGGAATGGCATACGAGGCAGATGGAAGGGTCCATGTAAAGACATGGAGGTGTGAAAGGTCGTGGTCTACTTGGGACACGATGGCAGAAATGTGGTGTGTGTGTGTGTGTGTGTGTGTTTGCACACAGGGGAAACTGGAGAGAGTGGCTGGACCACACCAAGAGCATAGTGGTTAATCATATCAGCAATGAGATCCCTGAAAGTTTTTAGGCAGTAGTGTAGCAAGGTCAGGTTTGTATTTTAGGAAGTTTCCTCTAACCTCAGTGTGAAATTATGTCACATGGAGGAAAGACTAGAGGTGGGGGAGGCCAGGAAGGTGGGCATGAGCTGGTTTGGCATGCAGGCCTTTCACTGTGGAAGGCCCTGGGGCCAGGCTAAGGTAGCTAGATGTAACCTGTAGATAAGGGGGGGGGGCTGTCAAAGATGACGTGGTGGGTAGATCCATGCAATAGAATATTTTTTTACAATAAAAGAGATTAACACACCGACACACGGTCTAACATTAATGGACCTTGAAAACATTAGGTGAAATGTGAACATTAACATACCATTAAGTGAAAGGCACCAGACACAAAAGGCTACATATTGTAGGATTCCATTTATATGAAATGTCCAGAACAGGCCAATCTATAGAGATAGAAAATAAATTAGTGATCACCTAGGGGGGGGAAGGGGGGAAGGGGAAGTTCGCAGTGTCTGCTAACGGGTACAGAGTTTCTTTTTGGGGTGTTACAAATGTTCTAAAATTAGATTTTGGCAATGGTTGCACAATCCATGAAACTACTAAAGATTACTGGACTTTAAAAGGATGAATATTATGATATATGAATTATAACTCAATAAAGCTTGGAAAAAGATGACTCATTGAAAGTGTTCCCTTAGAAATATACCCTCGCTGATCAGTGTGAAAGATCAATCAGAATAGGAGGAACCAAAAGCCAGTTAGAGGTCTGATCCTATAATCCGTTTGGGAGGTGATTAAGGGTCTGAACTAAGACAGAAGGATCACTTGAGGAGCTGGAGGTGTGGGTGTTTATGAATTAACAGGTGTTGATTGATACTATGACCTGCACTAGGCATGGAGTCCGCCGGGATTCATGAAACCACCTACAATTCCATCATGAAGTGTGACATCGACATCCGCAAGGACTTATATGCCAACAATGTCCTCTCGGGGGGCACTACCATGTACCCTGGCATTGCTGACAGGATGCAGAAGGAGATCACAGCCCTGGCCCCCAGCACCATGAAGATCAAGGTGGGTTCTGCCCCAGTTCCCTCCATTCTGTTCTTTGGACAAACACCTGCCTACTTGGGAGATGCTCCAAGTCAGTCTGCCGGGCCCGTAGATTGGTGGTCTCCTGGTCTAGGACAGATTTCATCTCGGGGGATTATGTTCCTTGGGAACTGATGAGCTGGAGACATGTTTAGCATGAGATCTCAGATGTAATCATATGATGTCCTATGAGAAGGTGGTGAAAGAATTTGGGATGAAGAGAATATTGAGGGGGTTGAGGATACAATCAGGAGGAGGGAAATAGAGGGGAAGAAAAGAAGGAAGCAACACTATAGCATCTTTAGACTTTAAAATGGATATGGGTGTTACCTCAGAGGAGGATGAAAGTTACAGAGAGGAAGTTTGGCATGGGGCAGGCTGCTGGTTCAAACTCACAGGGGTATCACTTGATTCCTGGACAGCCTGTGATCTGTTGTCTGCTCTTGGCTCACGTCCTCCCCACGCAGCTGCTCACCAAGGCAGCTCACCTCACAAGCCTCGTCAGAATGGAGGCCCACTTGTCTTCCGCCTCTCTCCAGCCTCTGGTCACCAAGCAACCATATGGAGCTTTTATTTATTTATTTATTTTAAGATTTTATTCATTCATTTGACAGAGAGAGAGAGCACAAGCAGGGGAATGGCAGGCAGAGGGAGAAGCAGGCTCCCCACTGAGCAGGGAGCCCAACGTGGGGCTTGATCCCAAGACCCTGGGACCATGACCCGAGCCAAAGGCACAAGCCCAACCGACTGAGCCCCACAGGCATCCCATACAGAGCTTTTTAGGGCTTCTAGGAATTTTGCTGCTAGCAGGTTTAGAAAAGGAGTTGGGAATCGAATAGAGATAACAAATAGGTTGAAAGTTACAAAGTCTCACGATAAAGTTGGTCTCTGGGAGTTGGCTTCATCTGAGGGAGTGTATATTATAAGAAACTTTTTCACAAAGGAAGGCTGCCCCGGGCCTTCCCCCTGCCTAGCTGATGGTGCTCAGCAAAGGCAAGCAGAGCAGGTTACCAGAAAACAGGTGGGAGCCTGCGGGCCCTTCTCACCCAGATCCACTGGAGCAGCATGGCGGGGCATGGCGCCAGGCCCGAGGCAGGGGCTTTTTACCAGGACCATTGACCACATCTTGCCTCACCCCCAGATTCTGGCTCACCACATCAGGGGGGCCCCCATCACCTATACTGATAAACAAACCCCAGTGTTTTGATGCATATCCCGATTTGTGAGCCACTGCCCTGAGTTTAACAACGTGTGCCCGTCTTTAAGGAGTTTAGAATCTAATCAGTGCACGTGCTCACTGAGAGGGCAACGTAAATAAGACATGAGGAGGGGAAAGGGCACTTGAGGCAGGGGAAGTAGAGCAAGCAAAGGTGCCCCAGTGGGTATGTGTGTGCATACGAACAGCCCAGCCAAACGGGACAGCCGGATTTGTGTAGAAGAACTGGGGAGATAAGACAGGTGTCGAAGATATGGAAGAAGAGCGGTGACGTGGGGTGGCATTGAGACGGGGGACCCCAGCCCAGGGAAGCCCAGACTCTTCTCACAACCAGAGCTGTACAGCAATAACGTGGCTGGGCTGGTCCTTGAGGTATCAGTCCAAAGAGTGACCGAGTGCCTTTGTCTGACTGAATAAAAAGATAACTTCTCAAGACTCTTCTTCTTCTGCAAGTCCATGATCTCCACAATTTAGGAAAGATGTAGAGAGGGTCTAAGGAGACAAAAACAATCAGTTCAGTGTCTGGTTTATTCTGGCCCTGAATCCTTAGACCCTTTAGTAGCTGTCCCTCTGGATCCACTTGTAGGTGGAGTTCAAAGTTGTTTGACAGGACAACCAACTTCTAGAGACTAAGCTCAGGACTCGTCAGCTACCAGTGGCTATTGACAGATGAAGCTCCACACAGGGTCTGAGTGCGCTGGCTGACTCGGGATTGGAAGAAGCCCAGCCTCAGCTGCGCGTGCATCCAAACTCCAGGCCAGAACAGAGCGGCACTTTCCCTATAGATGTTTGTATTGGTCATCTATTGCTGAGGAACAAGCAACTGTGAAATCTCAGGGACATAACAATAAGTTTTTTGTGCGTGTGCGTCTGCAGGTCAGTGGGAGTCAGCTGATCTAAGTCAGGCCTGGCTCAGCAGCTCTGCGGGTCTAGCCAGCTCAGGTCGGGTCTGTAGCTTTCATGCTGGGGCCCAGACTGAAGGGCCAGCAGCTTCTCTAGGGAAGCCCTTCTCATCAGGATGGCAGAGGCTTAGCTGCAGGCCTGAGGCACATGTCAAGCTCCTGTTTGTGTCACGTCTGCTAACGTCACATCGGTCAAAGCAAATACAGGGCCCAGCCCAAAGTCACAGGGCGAAACAGTGCATCCTTCCCATGGGGGGAGAACAAGGGCGAGAGTAAAGATTTGAGCAACAATCTAATCTAACACAAGGTTTACCCTGTTTGTTTCTGACCTGGAGGCTGTCCTTATCTGGGGCAGCCCGGCACTGTGATGAGATGATCTCCTGGACCACCTCCCTATTCCCTTGGTGCTAATTATGATTCACCACATTTATTCTTTGCAGATTATTGCTCCCCCAGAGCGGAAGTACTCGGTCTGGATTGGAGGCTCCATCCTGGCTTCTCTCTCCACCTTTCAGCAGATGTGGATCAGCAAGCCTGAGTATGATGAGGCAGGGCCCTCCATTGTCCACAGGAAGTGCTTCTAAAGTCAGAACAGATTCTCTGGGGATCCCCTGGAGACTGCTCTTACCAATCATGAAACATTAAAACCTGCAAGCCTTACTTCTCTGCGTGGGGCTTTTTTTCCGCCCTGGGCTTTTAAACAGTGCTAAGGGCTTTTCACACCTTATTTCTCATCCACACAATGATCCTGTGAGATGCATATATTCCCACATTACACAAGAGGAAATTGAGGCTCAGAGAAGTTAAGAGCGTGCTGAAGAGCACAGAACCAAGATTAAAAACCAAGTGTGTCTGACTCTAAAGCTAGTACTCCTACTGTACTACCCTGTTTCCCTTTCCTTGAACGTGAGTAAGAATGAGGGCTACATGGCGTTTGGCGGGGGTGGCAGGTTAAGAAACAAGGGCTTTAAGAGATCTAAGTCCTTGTACTCAAGGGCAATGCACAGAGAACATGACCGGAAAGAGAAACACAAGGTTTATAGGCTGTGACATATGAGTGGCTCAAACGCAATGTTTGAATTTGGGTGGTGGAAGGTCACAGTAGGCTCAAGATCTCTATGAGGGCTTTTGTTATTGAGGATTAGGCTGTATCTTTCCCCAAAACTAACCAAGAAAGGAGCAGCACCCTAGGAAGAATTTTTTTTTCTTTCCCTCCTCTCCTCCTCCTTCCTCTTCTTCTTCTTCTCCCTTCTCTCCCTTTTGTTCTTGCTCTTCCTCTTCCCCTTCCTCTTCTTCTTCTCCTCCTCCATCCTCTCCTCCTCCTCCTCCTTCTTCTTTTCCTTCTCTTCCTCCTGCTTCTTTTTTTAAAAAAGATTTTATTTATATATTTGACAGAGAGAGGCACAGTGAGAGAGGGAACACAAGTAGGGGGAGTGGGAGAGGGAGAAGCAGGCTTCCCGCCGAGCAGGGAGCCCAAAGCGGGGCTTGATCCCAGGACCCTGGGACCATGACCTGAGCCCAAGGCAGACTCTTAACGAGTGGGCCACCCAGGCGCCCCTCCTCCTCCTGCTTCTATCTCCCTTTCAGTCTCTCTCTTGTTATTTGCTCCCTACTCCCTGCCCTTGGTCAATTCTGTTAAATTTCTCAAGTATTTGCTGAATTTTTGGCATCCATTATTACTGGGTAAGGCCACACGGGATTTACATATCCAGTAAAGATGATTCCTGCCCATCAAAGTCTCACTGCATAAAGCGGGGGGAGGACACATGCAAGACAATGATTTGAGGTGAAACAGAAGCACCCACAAAATATGATGAGAAAACAAAGGGTAATAATAATAGCTAGCATTGGTTGAGTGCTTACAATATGTGAGGCCTTAGGTTAAGAGTTTTCCATGGACTTCCTCACTTAATCCTCACCCTAACCCTATTAGCAGGTACTAGTATCATTCCCATTTTATAGCTAGTTTTTCAAGTTAACTTGTTCACCCAGCTAGTTAATAGCAGAAGATTCCTACTTTTGCCTGGCATACCCTTTACTCTCTCTACCTACTCAAGTCCCAACCCTGATGCTCCCGAGCAGAACCCACTTGGCTGTGAGCCTTCCCAGACACACCTATTTGGAGACAGTGGACCCCAGTGGAAGTGCACAGACCTTAACGTCAAACATACTTCCTCTGCCATCCCTGCACTTGCCCTTGGGGGTAGGGTGGAGAAGCATGTTTTACAAAAATCCCTAGTGGACTTACGTCTTAAGATGGGTTTCCCAGAAGCAGACCCTGAAGTGAGGATACACAGGCAAGTGATTTAAGGAAGTGCTTGCAGGGGAAACCAGAGAGCAGAGTAAGAGAAGCAGCACAAGAAAGGGGAGGAAGCCCAGCAGGGGACCTCTCAGATAGAGTCCCACAAGGGTGGCTTCACCCTGGTCCCCAGGCAGCTCTGGTGTAAAAGCCTGACTGGATGCAACTGGGCTTTCACGCTGACCTATCAGTGATTGGAGAAGGCACACTCTGGGGGGAGGTAAAGTCCCATGCTTTCCACAGGGGCTGGGAAAGGGCTCCGGTAGGCCGAGGGCAGTCTTGCAAAGAAGAGCTTCAGTCACAGGCTGTTGGGAGAGAAAGCATAGGGAGGAGGCCAGAGGACAGCCACACACACACACACACACACACACACACACACACACACACACACAGGATGGGAGGAAATGTGGAGCACTGACAAATCCCTGCTGTAGAGGGGTGCATCAGAGTCTCCATGTGGGGGAAGATGGTGAGGCTGACCCATTGTTCCTTGCCCTGCCCCCACCCAGTCTTACCCCATTTCAAGAAGTGCAGTCCTTGAAGTCTTCAGGGGAAGTCAGGTCATACGCTGATAGCGGGGGGAGAGGGGGGAAACATGGGTAGGTTACAGCAGCTTGAGGAGAGAGGAAATACAACAGGCAGTCAACTAAAGATAAATAGCAAAAATGTCCCGGGCACTGAGGGTCGAGCTGAAGGCAGCCATTACTGATGATGGAAAGTGTACTGGGTGATAGCTGTGTGGCAGGCGGTAAGTGCTACTTGTGGGTTATCTTTCTCAACCCTCACCCCCGCCTCCCAGGAGCCCACACTCTTAACTACTCCTTAAATGCTTCCCTTCATGATTAGGTGTATCAGTCAGAGTGCATTCAGGGAACCTCTTTAAAACAGAGGTTACTGAAATAGCCAGTAAACATATGAAAAAGTGTTTTGCTTCATTAATCATCAGGAAAATGCAGATTAAAACTATATATGGCAGCCTGGACAAAATGAAGAGCTGACAATACCAACTGTTGTTAAGAATGTGGGACAAGCACAGTGCCCACTCATGATGGTGGCAGTGTCGACTGGTACAAACACTGTAAAACTATCTACTGTTTGGGACTGTTTACTAAAGCTGAACATACAAATAACCAATCACATAATTCCACTCACAGGTATTACCCAAGAGAACTGCATGCATAACTTTACCAAAAGACATATTCAAGAATATTCATGGCCACCCTCTTCGTAATAGCCCCAATTTAGAAACTCTTAAATGTCCAGCAGTAGCACAACAGATAAAATACATTGTGGTGTAGCAATGTATTGGAACACTATACGACAACGAGGATGAATTACAGCTATATATATAGCATGGATAAATTTCATAGATATAATATTGAATGAAAGAAGTACCTACTATATGATTCCATTTATATAAAGAACAGGCAAAACGGTTGCTGTTAGAAGTCAGGCTATTGAGGGGCGCCTGGGTAGCTCAGATGGTTAAGCCTCTGCCTTCGGCTCAGGTCACGATCCCGGGGTCCTGGGATCGGGTCCCGCGTCGGGCTCCC